GGTTTCGTCGCTTTTGTTTCCGCTCCCCCCCCCGGTCTCGCTTTTAAATTTATGCGCATGGGAGGGGCCCCTCCCCCGCTCGCTTTACTTTCTAGTCCGTGGGGTAGGGAGCTTTCTTTTTGAATTGCAAATACGCCTTAATCCGACTCACAGTTCATCTTCCGTCATATGACCTCGTTTAGCCTCCGTTTTAACCGCTTGATCTCCAGCGCTTGCCCCGGTCAGCGTCGCTTCTTCCATTCGGACACTCAGCAGGAGGACCATCGGGACGGAGAAGCACCTCGATACCCCAGCATTGCGCTGGTGAAGAGGCAACCTCTCAAAAGTTCCCTGGCTAGGAGCCTTTCAGCCAGGCTCCGTGGGAGGTAGCGATTCCTCGCCCCCCCTTTCTGCTGGTGCACAGCTTTCACCCCCCGGGAGGTGAGTCTGCTCAGCGCGCCGCCATAGACTGGAAAAACCTTGGGGAGCATTTCTGGCTGATATGAGAGAGGGAAGGCAGGGAAGTTGCACTTCCGTACTTTAGACAGGATCCAACCCAAATAAAGTACATTTTTCCTAGGAAGTGACAGAACTTGAGACAATCATCCTAGAACACAACTATAATAGATACTTTTGTCTGATAATGTCACACTCCAAACCGCCCACTGATTCAGAAAAGTTGGTTGGATCCAACCCATGATGCTGAATTTTCTAAGCCAAGTAATATCCATCCCGACTATTATTAAACAGCCATTCTTAATCCATACTGTAACCAACTTTAACAAGATCTTGCTAATGCAATAATGCTGAATCAAGCTAGATGCAATGATTCTGTGTGCTTCCACATGGAACTGCCCTAGTCACATGGGATGAAAGACGGCAGGTGGAGTCCGATCTTAAAAGCAAAAGGGAGCTATGAGGGAGGAATGCAGGGTCCTCTCTTTAGTCCCTCCACCCAAAACAGTTTCTGCTAGCTGGACCTCAGCTGAGGATAAACGTGCTTAAGAAGAGAGGCTGCAGGGAGTGCTCATCACCAGTTTGCCCTTTTGATTTTTGACACCTCTCCCCCTCAATCCCACCCCCTCTTGTTATCTGACTGAGGATAGTCCTGTGTTTAAGCACACAGAACTGCTGCTGACACACAATCTTTGGCCTTTAATCATCTACCAAAAGATCACAGAAAGGATGAAAGAAAACCTTTTCAATTAAGTTGGATTCTTTGTTTACAAGCTGTATGAGTTTCTGCAGGTTTGCATCAATGGGATCTTGACCAGCTGGAGAGATGCCTAGATTGGCAAAATGCACAGAAAGAGAAGGAATTAGAAGGAATTGAATATCCCTTTCAAAGAGACTGATAAATTGCATCCTCTCACACGCTTCAAAAGTCCTACACTGTTTCCACTTAAACCCGCTCCCAAACAAACGCAGATAACAGATTTTCAGTTTATCAGTGAAATTAGTTAATTTTAGCATGTCACTCTTTTGAAAGTATGGTACGTATTGAAAGAGAGAAGCACATGTTACCTGTTAAGTTTAGTCTAAAGTAGCAACTCAGGATGTCATCACAGAAGCGACATAAATTGGGAAGTTGCTTCAAATGATCTTGTAACTGGACTTTTGGGAACTGCACTTTATAAAGAGGAGCAAGGAAACCAAACACAAAGGCATCCAAAGTGGTAGGCCTAGAAATCATAAACATATGATACTTAAGCTTCCATAAGTAACTTTAGAAACAGAAAAGAAATATAATACAAAATGCAGCAGTCTGAGGATTCTTAGAGGCTTCGTGTTAGCAGGTGTGCCAGGACAACACTGCCGGTTGAAGTTCTCATATGGCACATTTTATGTCCTTGAAAACTGAGGTAGGACTGTGTTCAGTCATCACAGCTCCAAAACCCCTCCAGCACTGGACTAAGAGTACCATTTATCCACAGCATCCCCACCACGTACCAAGCAGGCTGCAACTGCAAATGCCTGCACCTATCGTTATAAAACAGCACCAGTTCCTTTTGCAACTCTTTAATAGATACTAATAGTAAACACTGGCCTAATTTCAGCTGCTCACTTAATAAAGATCAACAAGAATGGATACACCAAGAAATCTGCATGGACTAGATTAAATAAATTTAAACAATTTAAAAAGAATTCTGCATGGAGTGTTAATACACAGATGGTGATTAAATGCTGTCAGACTTTCCAAAGGATCAAACTCAGGTCTCATTCACATCTTACTGCAGTGGCAGGGGACTGTCTTCAGTGTAAACTACTTCCCACAAATCTATCGCAACATTTAGATACTTCCATATTGTACGGCCTGCCAGTTAAGACAAGCCCTGTTCTCCATGTCTTCACCTTCAGAATTGAGGCAGGTGGTAACCAGAGACGGGAGCCTTTTCAGCAATGGTGCCTTATTTATGGAACAGCCTTTCCCTTAAGGCTTGTCTGGTGCCTACACCAATCTCTTTTAGGCACCAGGCCAAAACATTTCTGTTCACCAGGCTTTTAATTCAGGGGTTGGTATTTTAACATTATCTTTTAATGTGCTCTGAAAACTGTTATTTTATGCTGTTCAGTGATCTGTGTTTTAATGCTAAACAAAGCAGGAGTCAACATGGCAAAAAATGAAAATAAAAATACATAGTTCTCTTTTAAGCCAGCATTGCTGGTTCAGCCACATTCAAGTCCCAGCCACACCGCTGCTGAGCAACACCAATGTGTAATATGAGTCCTTCGAATGAAGAGGCTGCCTGGACTACTAGTCCAGAATTACCCCTCTCCCTACTACTGGTAGTAGAGATGGTTCCAAGGCCAATTCAAGCTGAAGATCGGTATAATACAGGAGCTGAATATCCTGTACAGCATTTCCAATAAGGAAAACAACTTTGCAGATGTGACTAGAAAATAAAAATGCAAAGATTAGGAAGATCGTGGTCCAATGTTAATTATCCTAGTTTTCCAGCAGCGCAGGTGAGTTCTGACGAGAAAGCCTTTATGACATGTACAGGGCTCAGTTGGGAGTGGTGTCACTGGCTTAGTGCAGACATCTCAAACCGAGTTCCAAACAATCTTTTATGGTTTGGTCGATTGGCTCACAGGTGGGGGGTCGATTGGCTCACAGGTGGGGGGAGGGGACCTGTTGAATCCTCTATATCACTATATGCTTGTTCTATATTTGTCATTCCTAATAGTGACCATGTTACTGCAACCATAGTACTGACAATAAAGTAAAACCTTTCTTGGAAGTGTGTACTCTGTTGTTTGGCTGTGGGTCCTGACACTGTTGCTAGGCAACCAGGTTCTGTCAGTAAAAGGCCCTTTCGACACCTATTTTGGCCTTTGGGAGAAAACTCATTGGGGCCAGCTGATAGGGTTGTCAACTCCAGGTGGGAAATTCCTGGAGATTTGAGGGATGCAGCCTGGACAGGGTGAGGTTTGAGGAGGGGTGGGACCTCAGACAGGTACAATGCCATAGACTTCACCCTCCAAGCCAGCCATTCCCTCATGGGGAACCATTGTTGCCAATCTCCAGGTGGGGGCTGGAGAACACTCAGAATTACAACGGCTTTCTATGAGGGAGGGGGAGGAGATGGAAAGCTGAAGCCAGGAGGCAGATAACGGTAGGTTGACAGTTGGCTGGGAGGGAGATAGGATTGCCAACTCCAGGTTGGGAAATTCCTGGAGATTTGAGGGGTGGAGCCTGGAGAGGGTGAGATTTGAGGAGGGGTGGGACCTCAGACAGGTACAATGCCATAGACTCCACCCTCCAAACCAGCCATTCCCTCATGGGGAACCATTGTTGTCAGTCTCCAGGGGAGGGATGGAGATCACACAGAATTACAACTGCTCTTGGCTTCCGGTCTGGCTCCCGCGAAAGACAGACGCATCCTCGGGTCGCTCCCGAGGGCGCCTTGCCCGCCCGCGGTGGAGGAGGGAATCCGCGCAAGCGGAGACCCGAACGAGCCCCTCAGATGAGAGGAGCTCGGATCCGGGGCGCTTTAGGGCGTTCCAGGGGGGAGTCTCTCTTTCGGTCGAGAGATCGGAGATTGAGACTCTCGCCATGCCCTGCCCCTTTGGACCTTGCTGCGTGAGCGACCCCGTTCTACGGGGTTTAGCGGAACCACCGGGCGTCACCGAGTGATGAAGCGAATATCCGAAAAAAATGGAAAAGAAAAGACTGGCGTAACTGTGAGTTGTCAAAATACAGAGAAAATGAACTAAGAACCTTTTCCCCCCCCCCTTCAGCGGAAAATGAGGAGATTAATCCTCTATAAGCGAGAAAGAAAGAAAAAAAAGAAAAGAGGGGGGGAATGGACTGAGCGAATAGTGATGTTTTCCTTTGATGTACTTGAAAATAAGCAAGAGGTTTTGTTTCCCTGGAGCGCATTTTAAAAACTTTACTAAAAATAAAAAACAAGATGTCCGAGCTGGGTAAAGACAAGCGGAGGAGAAGGGAGGGACTTCCGTCTGGGCGTTTGTGTCAACGTGAGTGCCGGCTGTTTAATATTTGGACTGTGTATAGCTATGAATCCAACGGGGATTGGGAAGGAAAAGAAAAGTTTGAATTGTGACAGCGAAAAAGTGCCTCATGAGCGCTTATAAAAGTCAACAATTGAAGAGGAGAATCCAGCGAAGAGATTGGGAGCGATAAAAGCGAAATTGAAATTAATACCATTCTCAAAGCTGGAGATCTCCGGGCATGGCATGAAAGGAAGACGACTTATAGCACAGGAACTGAAAGAGTTAACAGCGACCCGAAGGAGGAGGGGAAGAAGCCGGAGGGAGAGAAAAAACAGAGGAAGCCCCTCCCGTCACTGAGAGTGGAAAAGTAACCAGCACGTAAAAGAAGCGGTTTTGAATGTGCCCTGAAGAAACTTTTTAACAGAAATTCAAAGGAACATTACTAACATACTAATACAGAAAGTAACTGGAATGGAAAAAAGATGTTTGACAACACGCAGAAGAAGCCTTTGATGATTGGACATTACTAACAGTTTAATCTAACAGTTAATAGATCACTCAGCTTTTTCTTCGTCCCACTATATACCTTCCCTATTTTTCTTTTTAAGCGAAACTCCTCCCCTTTTTAGGGGAGTTAATAAAATCTTTATACAAAGAATTACAACTGCTCTTTAGATGGCAGAGATCAGTTCCCCTGGAGAAAATGGTGGACTATGTGTCATTATACCCTGCTGAGGTCACCACAGCAAATTGATGCTGAGTGCCCAAGGCTGGGGCACTCTCCCAGAGCCTCTCTCTAGCAGTCGTATTTATTTCCACAACAGGCCTTATTCCTAGTATATATATAAATAAAAATAGATGCTTCTAGAAAAATGAATACATTTCATGAGATATGGTGGATGACAGATATGTGCTGCAGCAGATCACCGACTTGATCTGTGGACAGTCATTTTCTTGAACTTAAAAGTAGCAGGGTGGGGATGTTGCAGACACAGCTTTGGCCAGACAGAAGGTTGGAGGAGAAAGTGCTTTGGAAAACTCCCAGTGGAACCTACCAGGCAAGCTTCATTTTCTGCTCCCAGACTGCCTTCTCTTTGGCTACCACTCCCCCTGATGCAGGATGAAGCAACAGCCCCAAAACGTAGCTTTTTGATTTGAATGTCAGGCCAGTCAGCAGCAGTGTTCCCTCTAAGCTGAGTTAGCGTGAGCTAGCTCACAGTTTTTTAGCCTCCAGCTCACACATTTAGCTCAGGAAGGATGGCTCTGGAGCAAACTAATTTATGCAATAGCCAAATCACTGGCTCACAGCTTTAATGCCAGTAACTTACAAAATAGACATTTTGCTCACAAGACTCCACAGCTTAGAGGGAACATTGGTCAGCAGTATGGTCAAATTGTGACTTGAAACCAGTACAACCGGTCAGCTATTTACAAACCATTGTTTGTTTCTTTCAAGTCTGAATCATACCATGCTGTCGCCTACTCTTCAGCAGGGCCAAGATATTGCCCGGGGGGGGGGGTACCCAGCATTAATTGGCTGGAATTTATGATGTTGCTAAGATGCCTTTCCCCATCTCTGTAAATAACATTTTCTATTGTTTTATTAATAAAATGTCAAATGAACGAACAAATAGATAAATGAATATACAATGCTTCCATTTGGTTGGAAAAGATTACATGCTACCTGCCTGAAACATGGGGGAGAAGAGGCTAGACTGATGGCTGAGTCAGTGTTTGATTTGCTGGTACACAATTTTGTCATTTCAGTTGCAAAGCCAGGAAGAAGACAAACTCATCCCAGGGATGAAGGACACTCTGGAAGCTCTATTTTTAAGCCTGTCTTCTCTTCAGCATACAAAATTAGTCATCTTTTTCATTTGACGCAACCTCTGCTTATTAGTTTTGCACATCAGTCACTATTTATGTTAATTTTTTAAAAATCCTAATGCACAAGAAAAGAGAAACAAAACAACCTTTTTCTTTTAAAAGAGAATATAGATTTTGACATTAAACATATCACATTGTGTATGTTGCAAACATGGTACTTACGTATTTCCAAAAAAAAATGGCAAAGTCCCCAGTCTGCTTGAAAGAAGATTCAGACACTCCTTGGCATCTCTGTAGATCTAAAAAGTAACCCCCCCCCAAAAAAAAACAACTCCTGAGTTTATTTGCACTACTTCCAAATACTTATCATGATTTAATTTGCATGGGATTTCCAGTACTGGCAAGAGGAACAACCAAGAATACATGTGGTACAATGTGTATAATTTAAATCCACCGAAGATTAAATTCCTTCCGTTTATAGTGGTAAAGATTACAGGAGGCATGCATTAACCCTAGGACAATGCAACTGAACTTAACGTGTGACCTTGCACTAACCTGCCCCTGCCTGTGGTTATCCTTTTGAATGCTAGACTCTTCTTCCTCTTGCTTGTTCATTGCATGACCATACTATTATCATATCCTCCTAGAAATCAGAGATCTCATGTTCATCATCTGTGCCTTGACCATTTCACAGATTAACTAACTGTAATTCGCTGTATGTTGAAGATTTATCAGAAGCTTCAAATGGGTCAGGATGCAACAGCACAGCCTTTTTTGACCAATGCTGGATTGACAGAATATATAGGACAAATTCCTGATAGTCTAAACCAATTGCCAAGTTTTGTTTATGAATGGAGAGGAATAAAGAGATAATAAAGGTAACAGAATGCTGAGGTGGTAGAACAAACTGTAAGGACTGCAGACGGAGGATCATGGAGTTTCACTTTTTGGACATTTCCCCTATGTAAAAAGTCCCTACAAATTAAAAAACAAACAGCACAGCAAAAAAAGACAGTGGGTAGAAGCTTGGGGAGGGGCCATGGTTCAGAGATTGAGTCTGTTTCATGTACAGACGATCCCAGATTCAATTCCCAGCATGTCTAGTTTCAAGGATCAGGTAGCAGATGATCTGAAAGAACCTTGCTGATCTGCTGCCAGTCAGAATAGACAGTATTGACAACATTGACCTTCACAGACTCAGTGTAAGGGAAATGCATGGCTTCATGTTTGTCCTTGCTTGTGCTATTTTTCCATTCTCATTCTTTTTGTGCAAAAGAACTTTCAAAGCTGGAATCCATCCCCTGCAGTTCAAAGTGGCAAAGTTCATTCTACCAGCTCATTCTTCGGCATGGGTAAGCCAGGCCTCAGGCCTGATTTATACATGCAGGAGAAGCAATGGGGAGGGCATCATTTCGGATTCCAAGTCTGAATGCTCCTTTGTGGAAAAACTTCAAGCAAATAGACAGCTAGTTCAGCATGGAGAAAAATTCCACCCTGTCTCACAGCTTACTGTTGCTGTTTTCTGTTTGCAGAGAGTTTTTAATGGAAGGAATGTTCAAGGCAGTCCAAAGCAGTGCTTTCCTTTCTACCAACTCATTCTACAGTCTGTGTAAATCAGGCCTGTGTGTTTTAAGGAGAGGAATGAAGATCACCTATATTATGAAACAGTACATGAGGCATTGACCAGAATCACTGAGCTCCAGCTGTTTCTTCCAACACAAAAACCAGACATTAAATTGCTGTTTGTTTATTTGTGTTTTATTGCTGTTTTGTTTTTAATTATGAATATTAATAATTCAAATATTTGCCCCAAAGTAGGATATAAGATCATATAATGCATTAGGAAAATGTACAAGCGGGAGATTTGTTTTAAGAGGCCGACTGACCAGTAGAATTCACTGCTCCCTCCAAGACTATTTCGCTAACCCCACTATAAATAAGTGTTGGTAGAACAGAAAAAGTACGCATTAAATCCAAGAACAAGTAGAGAATGCTTTCCCAGCCAAAAGACTGAAAAGCAATACTTATTTTTCAATTTAATTTTTTTTTAAAAAATCCAGGAACAAGAGAAAATTGCATGAAAAGTGTTATGTACTGGTAAGATGAATGTGATGCAAACTAAAGTCACACCAATATATAAACATTGCATTCTTCAGTCAAAGAGGAGGAAAGCAATCATTTAGCGTGTGGATTTTAATAAATCTGTATTTATTATTGACTTAAATGGATACCAAGGCAAGACATACCTGCGCTTCTATTTCAGCAAGACTGCAGAATGGAGGCCCTCCTTTTGTCACCAAGATCCTATTAAGTGCTTCCCGAGACATCTTCCCAGGCAGGTACCAACTCAGGGGAAATGGAATCCTTGAACCAAACCATGGTTTTGTCACAGTGTAGTAATTATCAGTTTCCACCCAGAAAGTATGTAGCTATATCACAGTGATAAAGAACAAATTAAATGCAATTCAAGAATAACAATCAAGCTCTCACTTAGCAAGAACCAAAGGTGTTGTTTTTTTCCTATTTAAGAAGTAGGCTTCTGTAATATGGGAACCAGCATGCAAGGTGAGGAAAGAGGGACAGCATGCAAGCCACTCATATTGTTTGGCAGCTACTCCAAAGAGGGGCTTCTGCCCCAACGCCCTCTGGAGCCAGGCAGGAAAGCAAGGACCATGGAAAGAGGGGCAGGGCCAGGGTCTGCCCGGAGCCCCAACATTGCTTGAGCTCACCATGGCAATCAAACAGCAGTGGGGGCAAGTCAGGACACTGGGAAGCATCCCCACACTTTGGCCACACTTCCCACCCATCTTACACCTGAAGGTGGGATGGAGGGTGATTTGGAGCTGTACCAGGTGGCTCACCCAGGCTTATGGCAGCTTGCGTGGGACAGAGGGAAGCTGGCACCACAGCCCCTTTGACTCCCACCCACCTTACAACTGTTTGGTGGGAAGGAGAGGAGAAGGAGGGCCTGGGTCAGCTTTCAAGGTCAGCTCCCTTCCCCTACCATCCTGCAAGGGGAAGGCTCCTACGGAGCATGTGCATCCTGTAAGGTTGCCTTTAAAAGCAGGGGAGAGAAGACTAATGGGACAGACAAACATCTCCCTCCCACAGCTAGAGGAGAGAGTCCGGAGATGGCCAGAAGTGCCAAGGTGAAGTCTAGCCCATCCTCCCTAATTTCCAAGGCCTGGAAAACTGAGGTGTGCAGCATGAATTGGCAAAAGGGTGGGGCACTGACAGCTAGAGGAGAGAGTCCGGAGATGGCAGAAGTGCCATGGTGAAGTCTAGCCCATCCCCCCTCATTTCCAAGGCCTGGAAAACTGCAGTGTGTAGCATGAATTGGCAAAAGAGTGGGGCACAGGGCCCCACCCCAACACCCCATCTGCTGTATATCATGGTGGGAGTCTGTGCAGGAAATAAATCCATAAAGTGCCAAAAATTCATCTTGCAAACAAACTATCGTAAAGCTGTCTTAAGAAACCTGATTTTAACAGTAACTGCTGACTCCTAAATCAGAGTTGGTTCCCTAAGGCATCTCACAATGACAATGAGTGAATCATGCATTTGACTTTAGCTGAATGGCACCTGAAATCATTACCTGTGGCCCCTGATAACAACTCTATACTCACCAAAGCAGGATGTAGCTTTTCTTCAAGTAATGCAATGTAGGCCAGTGTGTCAGCTCCTTCTTTTGCAGACAGTTCATAATCAGCATTATATTTCTGCCAGTGAAAAAATGCAACAGATGGAGCACAAACAAATTATACAACAATTAAGGAAAGAAACAGAATAACTGAAGGTCCCTCTACAGCAAAACAGCTATTAATTCCTGGTTGCATAAAACATACATAACACCTTGAGTTTGTATTTTGTAGAGGAAGTAGGCTCTAGAAATATTTTAAATAAATAAAATAAACCAAATTACTCTCCATGTTTTCCAAGTTCATGATTTCAAAGTAGAACGGCTGACGTTATCCAGACATCTATTTTTTAAGGTCCAAGACAAATGCATACATTAAAACACAATGAACAAATGTTAACAAAATTGACTATTAATGTTTATGTAACATAACTAAGATGTGCCTTCCCAGAATTTAGAATTAGGAAAAACTTTAAATGATAATAAAAAAGAATGCAAAGGGTTTATTCAAAGTATACTTGTGTTCCTGTTTATGTCATGCAGAGAATCTGAAAGCGATGGAGACTGGTGGGATTCAATCCCACTCTTCTAGCGTTTGTGTGGGCTCAGGCATCAGGCTGCAGAGTGGCTCCACATATAAGCCAAGCAGAATCCTCAGCGCCAGTCAAGCTGCAGCCTTTACCTTATACACCCCACAAGACTTCCTGCATTTTGCACAGGATAGCGGTTCACAAATAAATGCAAGTGCAACAAAGAAAAATAACCTTTAAATGTTAAGCAGGCCTAAACACAAGATGCCAAATTTGGAAACCCACCTGTTTTCTTAAGAAGTTTAGTATTTTTGCTGGCTGAGAAATAACAATGTCATCCGATACCAATAATGGTACACTCCCTAAAAGTTAAGAATTAATGTCAAGATTATATAACCAGAAAGACCCTACTAATGCTAACTTAACTGATGTTCAGGTTTGCTCATGTGAGAGATCCTATCATTCAATGCTTTGGGTATCCCCAGAAGACTGGTGCTGTGTCAGATGTTTGGCTGAGCAAGCTAATATCATTATATCTTGTAGTTTGGTGTAGAGCCCGTTGCTGTCATGGTTAGGAGAGCCAGTTTAGTGTAGTGGTTAGGAGCGTGGACTCTAATTGGGCAGAACCGGATTTGATTCCCCACTCTCCACATGCAGCTGCTGGTGTGACCTTGGGTCAGTAATAAGTTCTTTCAGAGCTGTTCTCTCAAGGACAGTTCTCCCAGAGCACCCTTAGCCTCACCTACCTCACAGGGTGTCTGTTGTGGGGAGGGGAAGGGAAAGGGATTATAAACCACTCTGAGACTCCTTCAGGTAGTGAAGGGCGGGGTATAAATCCAGTCCCTTCTTCTCCTTAGTTGCACTGTACAGGGGAAGGACTTTTATTTTATTAATATGCATGGTGTAAAATTTCACCATTCTGCCATCACTCCCCCTATACACCAACATCTGATTTTCACACAAGACCCTTCACAGTACAGCTGCACTGTCCTGAGATGCTACGTCAGTACAGCATTCTAGATGATTTGGTGCAACAGATGACTTGCAACAAGGTGCTGGCAAAAAAATTGCATTGTATTTGGTCTTATTGTTTTGCTTTGAACAACAAAGCACCTGAGCTATGTCAACTTTAACAGCCTATTTGCAGAGATGTAAGTATGCATATAACTGTTTCTTAAAATGGAGCCTAATACAGTAATGTACTCATTAAAAATGCTAATGGAATACCTCTTGGTGCTCTCCACGAATTATCTATAACATTCACTTTCAACGGTGCACCAGAAAACCTCCCATATGCCTGCAATAAAGGTTACAAAATAAACTCAGTCATTTATTCTGCAGAATTTGGGCGGTTTAGATGTGGAGATGTATGATCACATTATGCTGCTACTACAAGAAGCATCAGGAATGAAGGAATGCCATGAAAATCCATGAAAATTAATGGACGATTTACAGTTGATTAAATGGGATGTCCATTGGGTTCATACCTACTCAGAGGAGGCATTACTAACTTTGCATTGTGTTCCCCCTAGTCCACCAGAGACATCATTGCCACATGTGCAGTTTATGGCCAACAAGATACACAACTGCATTCACAGCTGCACTGCTCATCTAGACAACACAGGAAACACATGGGTCCTTTGACGTGAATGGGAACATCCACTGCTATCTGGGGCAACTAGTTGTTGTGGACTGCTAGGTGCAACCGTCTAGAGCAGAACTGGGACCCTTGTGAAGAAATACAGAGTACAACAAGGGA